GTGGTATAACACTGAACAAATACTAAAGCAGTATTGAGGTATGTATTATATCAGTGTTATCAAATAAAATGAGCTCCACGCAGAGCCCACATGCTGAAGCACTGCTGAGGCTAATAATAGCCGAGCAAGAAACCTGACATCTGTATTCTCTTCATCAGTGCAGGGCCAGCCACGTTCAGTCCATACACTCCTTGAGGACCACATGCATTTTGACTCAACATCATGTCCCTACTGAACAGGCTTGACTTCTGGCTCAGGTTATCCAGCTAATGGAGAAATCCTGCCTTGTAAAATACACCCCTCAACAGTTCTGAACACACAGGATAATATTAGACTCAGTTAGAGGAAGAAATACCACTGACTGTTCCTTTCAAAAGTTTCCAGCGACACTACTCTTAGGAGACATCATTTAGGGCACTCAGATTTCTGACCGCAAAATCAAGGGCTTTCAGAAATAAACTGAGCGTGTAAAGGTGGTTATTTGGGGCATGACCACTGTGGCGGCATGGGATCACAATTTACGCGAGGTCTGCTCAGCCAGCAGTCAACAGGAGAGCAAGTGGGCAAACACTGCAGCATCATAGAGTCAACACTCTAATTATAGATCTGTGTCTGGCCTATCATCTGTGATATGAAAAACAAAGCTATCATAAGTACAAACTGCTGCCCGAGAGGACGTTTCACAGACAGACAGACAGACAGAAACACAAACCTGCTTTAGAGTCAGTCTATTTAAACGTTATGAGGGGACCCTGATCGATGGCAACACAGGACTTGTTTGAATGGCGTCTCAGGTGACTTAACCGCATTATATGGTAAGTGAATTTATTGGGCTAATCAAGGGGTAATGACAGCCATTTCCTATCAGAGAGAAACAGACATTTAGTATGGCAAACGGCCGGACTCGCTCTTCAAGCTATGCTGCATTAACCAGAGAATGGAACAAATAAACCACATAAACAATGAAAGAACAAAAAAAGGTGCACACTCAAATCAGAACAGCAGCAGGACTGTATTTTCATATCATCAGGTGAGTGTATCTCCAGTGTGTATGTTGCCACATCAACTGAGTTTTATTTAAGGGCAATTCCATCTGTTTTTCAAAATTTCTGCATAATTAAATTGATAAGATGTAAACAAAGTCATTGATTTGAGTGATTTTAAATCCATGCATGAGGGAGAGGTACATTCAAGGCACTGTGAGGCACTGACATTAGCAAAGAAAAGCTATTCTTCCATATTCATCATGAGATGTTTTTGCATAGTGGACATCGTGACTCCTGGTTTCTATCACCATCACTGTAAAAAAAACAAGTTAGTAAGTTTCTATATATTTTCACATTAAACCACTCTGAATTACTTTGTTTACATCTCAACAATTAAATTCTGCAGAAAAATGTAAATATTTTCTCATCATTGAGTTGTATTTTAACAATCACGCCAGTATTTACCAATACAAACCAATCATTTGTAACCTTTTATGGCCATCATGTAATTATATGAAGATTCTGATACTGACAGCATGTAGAGAATACCAGTTGCTACACACAAAGATAATAAACCATTTTATTTGTGGTATTATCATTACAGTTCAGAGTTGTCATCAGACTGTTACCCAGAGCAAAAGATACCACCCATCATACTCCATCTATCTCCGTATATTTTTCCGCAGATATGGTTTGTTTATCACCCAGCCATGAGAAAATATATATAAGTCCATACACTGATGCCCGATCTCCTACACAAAACCTTAATCTCACTCACAAAGCATGCAGGATGGGTTCTTGTGCCTTACATTGTGTATGCAGTACTTGACCTAAATAAACTGGGAAGTGTTTGTTTCTATACAGTACTGTGCAAAAGTCAAGACCACCTTTATTTAACTTACAGTTAAAATAGCCATTAAGTTTTTCATGTGTCACAAGATATTTCGGAAAAGATTAGATATAAGATAATCCACTTGAATAAGGAAGGGGAAATTCCCAAGAAAAGAAATAAAAAAACAGGCATTTCCAAAACTGGAGTTACTAGATAATAAGAAGAGGTATAAATTATTAAAAGATAAAACAGAAACAAATTGTGCCTCCTGACAACCGTGCATGACCTGGTAGACCACCCAAACTCCACCAATCAGATAAACAGTGCTTAATGCTTTCATCTTTGAGAGAGGGGAGAACATCAAGCTCCACTCTACCCCTAGCTGACCACTCCAGAGTTGAGACTTCGACATCACTTATGGTCTTTGGGATTACTTGTATAGTAAAGGAGCGGAAAATACAGACAACTTCTAAGACTGAACTTTGGAGGTGTGAAAAAATATCTCTGCAGATTTCTTTGAAAAACATTTTTTTTATTTTATTTTAGTTGTGTGTATTTGATCTGTTAAATGTTTCTGGGTTTTTCTGACACTGAAAAATGCCATTTTCACTAAAAAATTAAACAAATAAAGGGCAGTTTCTAACTTTTGCACAGTGCTGTATATGAGAACTGACGCAGGATTTGATAACGTGACCTTGGGAATTGGGCACTTACAAGGTCACACAGTATCCAGGGTACTTTCTAAGATGGACACATTAATGTATCACCAGTCAGCTATAGATTAATCTGAATTAATCTGATCTGGTTAACAGAAAAAAAGTAATAAAAACCTTGTGCTTTATCTCACTGTGAATGGCTGCAAACCACAAAAGAGAGAGAGAGAGAGAGAGAGAGAGAGAGAGAGAGAGAGAGGGAGAGAGAGAGTGTTAGCTACAAAGCAAGACCTTGATCTCAGACCTCATAGAAAAAGATATATATTCTCTCTTTCTCTGTTGGGTCTAAGATCAAGGTCTTGCTTTCTAGCTTTGTACACATGTATAGCGAAGGGGCGTACAGAGCATACAGAGCAAGACGTTGATCTTTTCAGTAAATAAGGAGTGCGGCACGGTAGAGTGGTGGGCTATATAAAATCTACAGCAGCTTTACTTGTGCTGATCTCGGTACATGGCCATATGGCAGCCATGATCTGAGGGGATGCAGTGTGAAAGCTTTCATACTTTAGGCCAGGCTCTATCTCCCCTATCATCTCCTCACCGTGGGACAGTAAATGGCAGTAGGTGCGGAGATCTCCATGGTGATAAAGACACAGGCTCAGGGGAGAAAGAGCTGCTCAGTCAGGGTGCATTAACAGGATTTAGACGCCACTTCAAGACTTCAGAGGATCAAGCAATCAAGCACTCTGATGCACTGATCTACCTGCCAGTTCAATCACAGAAAAGAGAAAAAGAAAAAGAAAAAGAGGAAGACAGAGAGTGAGAGAGAGAGAGAGAGAGAGAGAGAGAGAGAGAGAGAGAGAACTTTGCCATAATGTGAGCTGATACTTATTTCAGTGGTTATTAAGCATAGAACTGTTCTGCCATTTTTTATTCTAAACACCCTGAAGTGCTATTTTATGACTAGGTGATATAATTATACAACAGTCTGAGTACCACAGGGCTACAATACCTGCAAACTACCATTCACAGCAAATCTGGAAAATTTAAAGTTCTTGTAAAACAGTCTAGCATAAGGCATTGAAGTAATGGAACTGAAACATGACATATTTTAATTGGTATGGCGATTAGGAATGAGTTTTTAAGAATATGGTGAACGACACTGCTGAGGTCCGGAGAGCTGGGTGTTCACACAGCATTTTGTTATTGATATATTGAACTAGAGGGAAAATGCACTGATGCCAATTTAGCGTTTCTGTTTTTAGTGTTTTCTGAGGTTTACAGTACTGTGCAAAAGACAGAGACTGGCCTTCATTTATTTAATTTCCAGTCCATAGAGTACAAATTATCCATTATCAGGAGGTATTTCTGAGGAGATTAGATGTTCCTTATGCCACTTGCATCAAAAGCAAAGGAAAACAAGTAAAAAACAGGAGTTTCCAAAACTGTAGTTCAAAAAATGATTAAAAGATACAGAGAAAATGGGACTCCTAACAACCAATCAAGAAAAGAATAGAAGTTATGATGAAGGCAAAAGGTGAACACCCTAAATACTGAAAACATTGATATTATATTTAGTTGGTGAGCTGTTGTTGTTTAGTTGTGTGATTTTCTGCTAATACTTTTTTTGCTTTTTTATGATGCTGAAAAAGGAATAATGGCTTGTACTTAATGGCTGTTTTGACTGGAAATTAAAGAAACAAAGGGCTGTCTCTGATATTTGCAAAGTTCGGTATGTGAATAAATATTAGTTGAAAGGTGGATCAATCACTTGTAGAACTTGTTCTTTCAGAGCCCAGACTAGTTCAGGGGTTTTTAATGAGTGTAGATAAATTTCTATGCCCATAATGACTAAATTTTTTAGTTCATGACTGATAGTTTCAAAATCCATGAAGCTGCACTTAGCTTAGATTCTCTGCTTACAAAGCATTTCAGTGAATGTTCCTTGAGCCCCTCTTGTAGAAGAAAGTAACATACTCTATCTTGTGAAATTCAAAAAATAACTATGGACAAACTGAGAAAAGAGAAAGAAGGTAATATATTTAAGGCTAACATTTGTCTGTATTACCTCTCTCTAGCAAAACATGCATTTCAACATAATCTTAGGAAACATTTTTTTACACTAAACAACAAAAACTGAATGAGATTAAAAAATATCAGGCATGTATGAGGAGCCGTCCACTGCATAACCTTATGGCTTCATGTTCAGTCTGTGGTGATTTTCTTGGCAAATTTCATTCACTGTTCGAACGTATTTTACACAAATCGTCATGCCTGACAGACAGAGAAAATTTGCATTACCATGCACCTAGTGTTTCATACATGCCAGATTGTGCTTATAATCACAACAACCTGAAAGAATATGCTCGCTGCATGTGAATCCACATACATGAACAAATGTGCTGCGTTACGTCGTCCTACTGTATAGGTATAGTAGGCATATGTGTCTACACTACATTTTCTCCGAGTATAAGATTTTTGTTCTTTTGTTAGTAACCTAAAGCAAAAGAGCAGTACATGTGTCTGGGGCGTGGCTTCTTCTACGTGAAGCGGTCTGAGTTCATCTTTCGTAGTTTGGGGGGTAGGTGTCCGTCCATGCGGCCCCCTCCGCCGCCCCCTGCTAACCGCTGCAGTTTGGGCGGTAAGTCCGCCACTGATTGGCTAATGGGCTCGGTGATGATCTTGGTGGCCTTGCAGACCTGTTTTTCCTCAGAGACCCCAGGCACTGAGCTGATGCGCTGCAGCTTCATGGGCAGGTCTCCCAGGCTGTAGGTCATCTCCGAAGTAGTGGAGCTCATCCTGAGTAGCTTCCGGGGCAGCCCGTCCCGACCCGTCATCTTCTGCAGCTTGGCCGGGAGCTTGGTGGTGGTCTCTGTGTCCTCCAGCAGCTCCAGGCAGTCCAGAGAGCTGGTCTTCTCGCCGCTGTTGCACAGCGACGGAGCCATGAGCGGGGAGGACATGAGCAAGGCCTCCTCCTGCTCCTTCACGCTGTAGGGAGGTGTGGGAACCTCAAACGTGGCGTGGAACTGAGAGTAGTCCACCTTGAAAAAACCCTCCTCCAGGGAGATGACCGGGAAGAAACGATGGCCCCACAGCACCTCGTCTTCTGTGTACGACGTCCGTGCTTGGCAAGTCATGCCTGTCGGAGAAAAGATAGAGAGAGGGATCATGAAATATACAGATGACAGGGATTAATCAAGCAGAAATAATAATAAAAAGCCAAGTCTCCTCTATGCCTTGTAGAGTATTACTACTTAAAATCCTAGAGGTAGACAACATCACGCAATAAATATCCTACACATCAAAGCACATCAAAGAGAAATTGGAAACTTTCATGACAAAAGCGTTCACAGTGATACAGCAACGCCATTGTTGAACTACTGAATGAAAGATGTACACATGGGAACACACTCATTCAAATAATCAATTACAGCTACACATTCTTAAAACTGTAGTGGACAGTGTGTATGTTCATACTGTCTCAAAGGTACAAAATACCTTTACGAGGTGACATGAAATTCCACACAATACACAAGCATCTTTGAACGTGCATTACTGTGATTACTGAAGCATTAGTCAAACCTGTCAAAGGAGCTTTCACATTCCACATTTAATTATTCACTTGGCAACCTGCCGCAGGAGTTAGCAAAGAAACACAAGACAGAGAAGAGATGCTACTATAGTACAATTATGTATCGTTGAAATGTAAATGCAGTCAGAGTGGTTTCATTTGAAATGCTCTGTTTTTGAAACACTAACAGAGTCAGATTTGTTCACGATGGTGGTGATTAGAACCAGAGTTTAATGCCTCTAAAAGTTGCCTCAAAGGAAGTTATTACAAAAAATGATAAGGACTATGTTGGCCTAAAATGTACTTTTTACAACACATTCATGGAGAGATGCTGTGAGGCAAAATAGAGATTTTCCAAATTTACCACTCATTACCAACATCACATATAAGAACTGAGATGACGTATATTTTGGTAAGCAAACAAAAGGGCTATATTTGTATTGTGATCCCTGGTTCCTATCATCACCACTGAAAAGAAATCTGAGTTGGCAAGTCTCTAGAACGCACCTCAAACCATGCTGAATAACTGTATACATCGTAATGATTCAATAATGCAGACAATTTGAACAAAAGGTTATCTAAAATATTCCCTTTTAAGTCTATAGTGTGTAAGCTACATTCAGATTCAACTAAGCCAGTACTACTTGTGAAGTTAGACAAATAAGGGATAATAATGTAGGCTACAGAAAATCAAGATAAAGAATCATTTTCTAATCACAACTTGGCATCCTGCGTTAAAATTGAACAGAATTGCGAGGTGCCTAGAGATTCCCAAATTCAATGGACAGACACAATTGTGTTAAGTGATTAGGCACAAAGGGAGAACAAACCGGCAATAAACACACCAATATGAGAAAAAAAACTTTAGGAATTCAGTGAAATTCACAGTTTTTATTCCCCCACATTTTCTCCTAATTTAGTCATCAGCTAGTTCCCAGCATGACAAAGGGTCTCATTCCCTTTAATGTCAGTATAGCCTAACACAAGATCTTTTCAAACCCCACACCAGCCATGCACCAATGTTGAGTCTCCCAACACTTAGCTGAATGGAGGGAGCTAACTGTCTTTCCTCCCAATGACAATGCAGTTTAATGCATCCCCCTGGACCCTCGAGCAAGCAAATGGAACAGCTGGGACTTGAACCTGAATCGCAGCTGCAGCATCATTAAGCAGCTTTTCTTTTTTCTTTTTCTCAACCTTTAAAAAAGGTACAGTGTTATGTGATGTTATAGCACAACATCTAAACCATTCAGGCTGCAGAATGTCTGTTTTTTGCACTTTTAACTTCCTTAACACCTTGAATTGGTTAACTAATGCAGCACTTCATATGCTCTGTAGCGTGAACGCTGGTTTATATAGTTGAAATTGGTACAATCTGCCCTGCTGACATTCACAGTCACTGAAGTGATGAATTCCCTCCTTTTCCTTTTTGAGGTGAAACAGTGCAGTCTGCTCTCTGTATCTCAGCAAACATTCTCTCACCAAAGAACAAATTCAATTACTGAACCGCTCACTCATAATTGCTCGGGTCACATCAGCCGATGAATGCAAATGCAGCCACTGACAGCACTCTTAATCTTTCACTCCTACATCCATTCAAGCTTCATCCTGACCTTGCCAAGTCAGAAATGGCAGAAGATTAAGATAATCAAATTACTTGAGGGGAAATCCCTAACAGACCTGATAAAAGGCCATTGCTATGAAGGGACTGGTTTTATGAGATTAGGTCAATAAAAACATCACATCTTCATTCATACTTGATATTCAATGCTGGTGTCACTACTTTATGTACAGCTGTATGCAACAGTTTGAACACCCCCAGTCAAATTATGCTCTGTTGATTTTCAAACTGAAAATAAGTTAACACATCCTCACTGTATAAAACAATTTCTATGTATCTGCTGAATTTAGATTAAAGGAAAAAATAATGCATAGAACATAAAACTTGCCATTACTTTTGTACCAGCCACATTTAATGTTTAATTTTTCCCCAATAGGTTAAAATTCAGCAAATAAACAGTAAATGTGCATTTAAATGTCTAGAAGTGTGTTTTTCTGTAAGTGTGCTCACTTAGAAAATAAAAAAACATGTAATTTGACAGGGGTGCCCAAACTTTTGCATACAACTGTACAGTCTGCGATGAAAAAAAATCAAAACTCTGCTATTCAGTGAGACTGTTTATCTTCTCCACTCACACCAGGTCTTTTTGAATGGCTGAAAGAGAGCAGGAGGGATTCTTGGACCCGAAAAATCAAACTCAGTCAAATGAATGAAATGAAACCTGAGCTTTGCAAGATAAATGATAAAATTACACAGGCATTCTTAGACATTAACTAAATTCAGTCTCGACTTGCTTGCCTCCAACCTCAACACAGAAATACAGAAGGCTAGAAAAATGGAAAAGCTATAAATGGAGAAAGTAATATGAAGGGATCAAATAAACCGCTTCCTCACATGAGGAGCAGCAAAGGCCTTGTGCTATCAGTGCAGTACAGACTTCTTTATTCCTATGGACTTTTGTGGGTTCGGTGTTATAGCGTTACCACTTTCACGAAGTACAAAATTACTTTCAGAGAGGGCAGCCCTACACTCATCAAAAATCCATTTTGCTTTCGTGGCTGTTCTCTCTCCTCCTCTGTAGTGTGAAATATTTCTAAGCGAGCGTCCAGACAGATTCCGCTCGCAGGCCGTTCATTTATTCATTTACACGAATTGAACAAAGAGACATTTTATGATGCTAACAGATTTCGGCGCTAGTAAAAACACAGGCATCTTTTCACAGCACTACAAATGTCACAGACTTACTCACGGCCATCAGCTTCATTACCTTTTATTGAGCGTGAAAGCTCTCACAAGCCGAAAGCCATTCATAGGGCTGGAGGCGTACTCTATTTAAAGCATCTACGGTAAATGCTTGTATTACATATAAACCTTCATTGTCTTCTTCAGAATGCTCTAGCTTTGGGATTTTGTGCTTATAATAGGCTGTTCCTCAAGACAGCAAAGATCTCTTTCGAAGAATAATGACTTCCACAGTGCAACTGTGAGGTTGTGGCCGTACTCTCAAGGTCATGAGACGGCGAGCTGGGCTAACAGCGTTTTAACACAAAGCCACATATGTGTAAGGATGAGCACACAGCTCAGTTAGGGTGTTCACATCGGTTCTGCCTCATTGCTCTGGAGTCCAGAGCAAGCAGCTCAGGGCGCACAGAAATATTCTGGGATGACTAAGACGCCGTGTTGATTGGGACTGGAACCAACTGTGGCTAAGCGCTAAAAACTCAGACGGCCATTAGCTTTGTGCTGTCTGTTTGCCTGCTACCTGCCAAGGAGAAGGCAGGGGTTATTTACTAGCGCACTGCAAAGGAATATGACACATCAGAGGCAATTTGTCTTTTGCTACGTCTAAAGGAACACCTGTCATCGAGAAAAAGACATTGCTCAGCTTGACTCGAGGGACGGAGATAAAAAGAAAAAAAAAACAGGACTGTGAAAAAAGGAGAACATACATGGAAAACAACAAATCCATAGGGCTATAATAGCACACCACTACCATGCTGAACGTGAAGGTTTTAACTAAAACAATAATGAGAGCTGTTTGACATTTATTATTTATGATGTAACATGAACTTGACAAAAACTAAACCTACACTGCAGCAACAAATTAGTACAAATCAAAACAAATTATCTCTCTCTCTCGCTCTCTGCCTCTCTCTCTCTCGCTTTCTCTCTCAAACACTTTTTCATAGTTCATAATTACAACATAAATCAAATATATCGATGCTCAGTCACTTCATGCAACTGATCTATCTGACGTGTATAATGGCTCTGTTAGACTATAGGTGGTAAAAGAGGAAAAAATAACATCAATTTATTTCACTCAGGGGGAAAAGGACTTATGTAATCATGGCTACAACAGTGTGTTTCTATGGAAACCTAATCCTACCAGCATGCACATGTAAAGCTGCTATGATCAGCGATGTTTGGGTCTCGCATTTGAAGGTGGTTTTCAGCAAACGTACACAGAGACACACACACGCGTGCACTTAGCACCGTTATTTCTTCGAGAGAATACGGCCATTATGACTATTTACTTTACGAGACTGGCATTACATCCTCCAATAAACTTACCCAGCATAATGTGTTTGTGTTTGGACAGTGTTCTTTAGTGCAAACCCAATAAATCTCTGAAAGGGTAGAGCTTAATGACTCCGCAAGCCCATCACCCCCCGTACCCTCCCCCCCTTCTCCTTCCTTCTCCTGTGCTGTAGTCTCAGATCACTGTCCCAAACTCCTGAGGCTAAAGTGGCAGAGAGTGAGCGGTAGATGACAACAGAGAGAAAATTAATCAAGCAAGATTCTCCCCTGAGCTCTGGGTTTACCCTGCACACACATTATTACAATTACAAAGCACCTGACTTCATTTCCACACCGCTAAAGAAAAAGGAGACGACACAACTCCCTCAGCAACATCCATGCACACAGGAATTACTGCTGACGGCGAGCTGGACTAACAGCATTTAAACACAAACTTTTTTATTTATAATAATAACTGGTTCCTCAAGAG